GAGTTACAGCATCAAGAGCCCTGGGACTCAGTTACAAACACTGCATGACAAAGCACACCACAGCTCCCAGCGATGGTCCAGGTCTTCCCACTAACCTGCTTATGAGAAGCTTCCCTGACGTTGAGCATTTTCCCACGGAGGGGAAATACTCCGTATTTGTCTCTACCAACCACTCCTAACCCAGAGACAGCCAGCGTTTTGGCTGAGTCTCCCTCGGTCAGGATGAGTGTACAATCTATTGAATTCTTGCTGCCTGAAAAACAAAAAACAAAAACCCAAGTCTTCAAATTAAGAAGTGAAATCCAGGCTGGCACAGCACAAGTTGTGTGAGGTGACTCATAAACCAGACAGGTCTGCAGTGCAGAACGAGCACAAGCTGCTGTTTTCTTTACAAGATGGTCGTTTCATTTGTGCAGTGAGCAAACCTTCCCTGCTTCTGAACAAACTGATGTGAAACACTCACCAGCATCATTGGCATCATCCAGTTTAGGAACGCCCTTAATCTTGGTGTGCTTCACAGCTGAACACTTCTTATTCAGCTGGGTCTGAGCTTTAAATTTTACCCAGTTTAGGATACTTTCGACAATGCCACAGCCAACTGCCTGCAATGCCCAAACAAAATTACAGAACAAAATCAACCGTGGGAAAAGCTTTAAGTTACTTTTTCCTTTAATTCGTGCCTTTGTAAGCAGTGTATTTGCCATGCTAAGCACAGGCTGCAGCTTTACAGACACGTTGATTACCCACACGCAGCAATACTTACACCCTTGATAAATTTCTCACTCAGTTTACACGTCGAGCCAAAGCTCTTTGCCTGCAGAGTCATGTTCTCTTTAGTCTGAGAGTCGAAGGTTGGGTTTTCAATTAAGGAATTCACAAAGATCCACATGTGGTTCTTCACCTGCAGGTAAACAAGAGGAGCATTGCAAACTGCAGGCTCCACTCCCTGTAACAGCAGTGCCTTCTTTCTGAGGCCCAGCTGTCAGGATCACACAGCGAGGAGAACAAGTTCCATGATTGCTGGTTGTTTCTGGAACTTTCCTAGATGTCTTTTGGCAGAATTTAGGACGGCTGATGAGAGCCACGTGATTTGGGATGTCAAGACACCAGCAGCCCTCCTACTAAACAAGAACCTAACAGCTGCTGAGCCGCAGTGCTTCCTTACTGGCTCAAAGCACTCTGCTTCACCTGAGCAGAGAGAACACGCTTTGTTGGCTTAACGTGGAACACATACAAGGCTTCTTTCATTGGAAATTCTGACACCGTACCTGAAACGGTTTCACTCCAACTCCGTTTTTGTTCTTCTTTTTCACAACATCAATGAGTTTCGTCACAATCTGGTCAGCTATGTAATCGACGTGCCTGCCACCCTGCGGGACAACAGACCAAGGAGCTGAAGGTGACTCCAGTGGAACAAAACAGGGCCGGAAATGAAGAGTGTGAAGTGAACATGACCACAGGAGTGAGAGAATTACCTTTGTGGTGGCAATGCTGTTGACAAAGCTAACTTGCTGGAAGCCTTTTTCACTTAAAGTCAAGCACACTTCCCACCTGGAATTCACTTCCTCATGAATGACCTTAAGTGCATTTCCAGTCTCATCCACTTTGTCCTTCAGATAGAGGTCCACGTAACTGCGGAAGCCTTTCACCTACAAATGAGAGCAGACCACTCATATGGGAGTAACAGCTCCTATAAATACTTCATGCACATCCTCCTGAAAAGCTGGTAAGGAAAATTGCTTGGCAAGCTTTCACTTTATCATGTGCAACGGCATAAATGGCTTCAACAAAATCTCACTGGTTAAATGTCAGGAGAAACACAGATGTTCTGTCCTGTTTAAATGCTCACTTACGGGCAGCCTCTTCCCATTCAGGAAAACTTTGACATCCTTTGTGGATCCAGCAATATCATAGGCCCTTCGGGACATCAGAGCCACGATGTCCTTGTCGAGAGTCGTCATTTTGAATTTGGACAGATCAGGTTGGAAAGTGACACACGTGTAATCTTCTCCATCAAAATGCTTCAGCTTCATCTCACCGGCCTTCCCCATGTTGTCTGTCCAGGTCTGAGGAGAGTTTTTGTGAGTTGAGTGCAACAAACACAAGAAACCAGCGCAGTTCCTAACAGCAGCAAGCTGACTTCGGAGTTTTAAATACTTGAAGGAAAAAAGCACTGATTAAAAACTAGATTCTGATTATGTCTGCTCATCTCATCATTTGTCTGAATCGCAGTTGTTGGCACAGTAGCTGTTGACCAGGTTTATTCTTGTCACACCAATGACACCCAGATTTATATAGGAAAAACTCAAGTCTAATTTGCAAATCTCAGGTACAACCTCACTGAAATGAGCAGCATTCCTACCTGCTTGAACAACTTCTTGTATTCACGACACGCCGTCTCCACAGTAAATTTGGTGCTGAATATGTTGCACAGTTTGGCTCCATAACCATTTCGCCCACCTGGATTTAGGAGGAAAACATGTTTGTGTTGTTACCTTTGCTCAAAACCACTGGAGAGAACTCCAGACTAACGAGAGCTCATTCATTTCAGCACCAAGTCTGACTAACAATGAGCACTGTCCCACAAACCCTGCAGCCACTATAAAACCGTAAGTAATTAACACCAGTTATTACACCAGGTACTTGAGCTCCTGGAGCACACCAGTCAGGCTGCCCAGGTTTATTTGCATGTACTGCAGTGTTCCCTACCTGTGACTTTCTTTTCATCATCATCGTAGTTGCTGGATGTCAGCAGCTGACCAAAGATGAGTGCTGGCACATAGACCTTCTCCACTTTGTGTTCAACCACTGGAATGCCTTTCCCATTGTTCCACACGCTGATGGTGTTATTCTCTCTGGAGGAGGGGGAAAGCATGTTTGTAAGGCTGCAGATGACTGAGCTCTGGAACAAACACAGAGGATCTCCAGGGAAAGGCCACCATTTCATCAAGAACAGATTTCTGTTCAGCAAGTGCAGCAACAGCCAGCAGAGGGAGGGCAAGTCTACAGAAAGCCCTCATTTCAGACCTGCAGAGAGCGCCAATAAAATGGACCACCACAAAGCATGTGTTCAGTGGTGGAACAAGAAAACATGGAAACATGAAGTCACCACAGTCACAAACAACCACAAAGCGGCGTCTCAGCAGTCTGTGCTCTGCGACAGATCGAGAAAGCACCCAGGGAAAGAAGCTTTTGCAGCCCACGAACAGGAATAGGGCTGGGCACAGAGCTCTGCAGCACCCACACTGATGTAGGAGAGCCGTGAGGGAAGGAGCCAGCTGAGCGGGGAAGGCACTGCACAGAACCAGCACTCACGGATCGATTGTAACTTTGATGCAGGACATGCTTTTATCCCTCTGCTTGTTGTCCGCAGCATTGACTGGAAGGGAAAGACGGTCTTTAATCAGAGCGTGTTCACAAGCAAGACAAAAGACATAAACTGTAACAAAAGGTTTGAATCGCATGGGGTTTTTCAGTGGGACAAATGCAAAAACCCATCGCAGGACTGCCAAATATCTCCTTGCAAGGCAGACGTTTGGCCAGGTACAAGGAAGGACGCCACGAAATCGCGTTAAAAGGAAAACCGCGGGGTTGAACGGGCTCTGTAACAGCCGTGCTGCGTGGGGCTCCGCGCGGGCAGCGCTCACCCAGGATCTCGTCGAAGATCTTGTACAGGCCGGGCACGAAGGTCACATCCCTGCAGTTGAGGCCCAGCTCCTCGTCGAACACCCACATTTGCTGAAAAGGAGGAGGATGCGACACAATTCACACCGGGCACCGCCGGCCGCGCCCGGCCCGGCCCCGCACCCACCTGCGTGACGGTCTCCACGGATCCGATGTAGGTGTCGGGCCGCAGCAGGATGTGCTCCAGCTGCGACTTCTTCTGGTAGATGCGCTCCACAGAGAGCCGCTTCTGGGCGCCATCGGCCGCGGGCAGGCGGGGGTTGTCCTGCAGGGGCTGCGGGGAGAGAGCGGAGCTGAGCGGGGCCGGGGAGCGACGGGGCGCCCGGAGAGCGCGGGCAGCGAGGGGCGGGGAGGGCGGGGGTCGGCGGCCCCACACGCACTCGGAGCGGCGCCGGGGAGTCCAGGAGCTCCATGGCGGCGGGGCGCTGAGCGGAGCGATGGCGGCCGGTAACGGCGCCGCGCGTTTCAAACCTCCGCCGGGCCCGCCGAAACGCTCCGCCAATCCCCGCGCGCCGCCCCCTGAAAGCCGCCAATCGCTGAAGGGCGACGGGGGCGTAGAGCCCGCCCCTGCCTCCTCCCAGTCGGCCGCGAGGAGCTCCGCTCTTTCAAAAGCAGCCAATCAGGAGGGGTGACTGCTTGATGGGCAGAGCGGAAGACAAATAGAGGAACGAGAAGGGAGGACCCTGCGCGGCCGGATCCGTGGACATGCTCAGTCGTTCGAAGGACGGTGTGGGGACCGTAGGGACGGGCTGGGATGGGGACGACGGGCTCCACTGGGCAGCGCTGGGACTCGCTGGCCGGCCTGCGCTGCCCCAGAGAGGCGCTGAGCCGCTCTGCCCCGCAGCCGCCCTCACAGGGGGAGCGCTCACGACCGGCCCCCTGCACAGCGCTGCCTTGTCAGCCCGTGGCCCCGGCGCCGCTGCCTTTGCCGCACGCATCGCGCTGCCCGCAGTGCCGCTGCCCCTGCCGCTGTCGTAGCGGAGCTGCGCTGTGACCCCGCGGTGCTCCACCACCCGCAGCCCCATCGCGATATCCGCAGCCTCGCAGCAGCATCCCAGCCCCGCGCTGTCCCCGTATCCCGGCCTTGTGACGTTCAACCCTCCGTGCAGCTGGCGGCATCCAAACGAGGTCCCTTCCTTAAAGGTTCCCTTCAATAAGGGAAGCCCAACATTGGCCCGAACACCCAACTTTTTCTCATCTTTTATTCTGAGGGAAACGTGAACACGGGCGGTGCTGGAGGTGCGGGGCTGGCTGTGCACAGGGACGGGACGGACGTCCTCCCGGTGCTCCCTGCCCCCCCCCGGGGCTCGGGGCCGTCACCACATGTGGCGATACGGGAAGGCGACCTCCACGCACAGCACGACCAGTGCCTCGGAGCAGTTGTGCCGCCGCCCGGCCAGCAGCCTGCCCTGACCCAGCGGGGCCGCCAGGCCGTCCCCGGGGCCGGAGCTCCGCCAGCCCTGGCAATCCCGGCGCTGAGCGTGGCCGCCCCGCAGCGTGGATCCGTGCCATGCCAGCCTGCGGGGCCTGCGAGCGGCAACGGGATGATGGGGAACCCCGGGGAGCCCTCCCCGTCCTCCCGCCCTTTGCACCTTCGCGTGATGCCGTGGATGTGCGGGACCAGGACTCACCAGAGGGCATCCGTCAGCACGTTGCGCCCATTGAAGGTGTAGATGGGGCCCCGCGGGGCGGCTCCAGCCTGGCTCTGCAGGAGGGAGCTCCAGGAGCGAGCCAGCAGCTGGCCCTGGGGACGTGGGGGAGGCACTGAGCGGGGGGTGGGGGCAAGTGCCCCCCAGAGCCCCTTGTCCCCATTACAATATCTCTGGGTGGAAGGAAAACACGCGGAAAGCCCGTGCTTCCTGCGGGACACCCTGAGCCCTCGGGGATAGGGCTGCCTGCCTTCAGGTTGACGATGGGGAGGGTCCTGTCCGTCCTCTTGACGATGGAGGCCAGGTCCTGGCTGGGAGCTGACAGGAACGCACGGAAAGTGCCGTAGAGCCGGGCCTCTTGTGACTGCCGGTAGCACTGCAGGTCGGCGCCGCGGATGCCGCTCATGTCCCCGGAGAGAGGCACGTTCAGGGCCACCAGACGGAGCTACAGGGACAGCGGATGGCAGCGCATGGGGGGCCGGGGCTGCTGGGGTACGTGCCGTCATCCCGCACCCCATGGGGCACTGCAGCCCCCTGAGTCGGGCATCGAGGTCTGTACAGACCCACGGACACGGGAGGGGGGGGTGTCCCTGGGCTCTGTGGGATTGGAAGGGGCCAGGAAATGGGGCAATGCTTACAGAAGGCATCCTGGGGGCAACGGTGGTCGGCAGGGTGCTGGGCAGCCCATCTCCATCCTCCTTCAGGACCTGCAATAGTGGGGACACCTGGGGACAGCAGTCACGGTGCCCAGGGTGCATCCCCCTCCTCATCCCACTGCTACCCGGGGTCTCCTGGTGCCACCTCCATCCCTCTGCTCACCAGTGCATCTGCCCGGGCCCCTGAGGGTGGCTCTGTGTTGGGACCTCGTGTCTGTGCCTGCTTTGCCTCCTGCACAGAGATGGAAGGGCAGTCCCAGCGGTGCACCCCCCCACGGGGGTCTGTCCCTTTGCCTCACCTGGTACTGCGGCGTGGAGGCGGAGGGGTCATCACCCACAAAGAGCGACTCCGAGTCCTCCAGCTGCAGAAGAGCAGTTAAGGGGGGCCAGCCACATTGTGTGTCCTCCCTCCCAACCCCCCATCCCAGCACGGTACCAGCAGCCTGCTCCAGCCCCGGGGGGTGCGCAGGAAGGCGTTGCTCCCCTCCTGCACGTAGACCAGGCTGCCCTCGGGGATAGAGCTGCCGGACCTCAGCATCAGCTCCTTAGACCTGAATACCCACGTCTGGCGCTGGGAAGGACATGGAGGGGGGTCAGGGCTCAGCTGACCCCCCCCTGCCCATGGGGAGCTGCCTACACATTGAGGGTCACCCATGGGCACAGCTCCCCACGCACCCGGAGGTCAGCACTGGGCTCCAGCGGCTCTGGGCGGGGAACATCAGCATCTGGAGAAGCTGAGGAGGGTTTGGGTTAAAGGCAGGACTGGGGTTGGGTTGGGGTTGGGTTTAGGGGTAGGGTTGAGGTCACAGGGCACCCCAACACTATGGGGACACCAGGACAACACCACAGCCCTGGTGCAAGGGCATGAAGCTTTGCAAAAGGTGCTTCCAAGCAGACAGGAGTTCACCCAAATCCCCAGAGAGCCCCTTACCCACTGCCCAGGCTGCACTGCCTGCTGCCTGTGAATGCAAACGGGGCCGTTATTGCTGCTGGGACACAGGTGCACGGCGGTGACATGCAGGGAGGGGACAGCGAGCTTACCGGCTGCTTGCAGGGCTGCTGTCCGCGCATGGGGTGCAGCCGCTGTGAGCAGAAACAGGAGGATGCACGGGGAGAAGCTCACACTGCACGCTCACACACGTGTGCACTGCGGCACAGAGCTGTGCACTGCCTGTGCAGGGCCTTACATTGAGGTAGAGGAGTCCTGGTGCTCCGGGGGGGCCTGGGGGACCGGGCGGACCGGGGGGACCTCGGGGACCCTGCAAGAAGAGCATTGTGGAGATTTAGGGTGGTTTGGTGCTGCTCCTGGGGCGGGCGGCTCTACGTCACGCTGGGTGCAATCTCTCACGTGGGGAATGATTGCTCCGTAGATATCCGGCTCCTCCTTGCTGTGCTGCAAAGGGAACGCGAGCAGATGGAGGCTGAGCTCCTCTTGCCGCCCCCCACTCCCCGTCACCCCCACCCCAGGACTCACCGGTTGGTACCAGGTGCTGGGCTGACTGCCAGGGCTGGGGAATGGGAGGTGGCCTGGTTTGCAGCCGGGCTCCCCATAGCAGCACCCCTGGGGGGCACAGTGAGGCAGGGTAAGGGCAGGGAGGAGGGGCACATGTCAGGTGTGCAGTGTGCATGTGCTGCAGAGGATGGTGCAACTCACCCACCCCCATAACCGCACCAGCTCCCCCCCGTGCAACACCCCATACAAACCCGCTCTCCTGGATCACCCTTTTCACCCTGGAAGAAAGCAGAGCGGTCCCATAAGCGCCCTGATGCAGGTGATCCCAGCCCTATGCACCCCAAACCCAGTGTCTGCTGCCCTGCTCACCTTGGGACCCGGTGGCCCAGCTGCTCCGTGGTGCCCAGTGGCTCCATGGTGCCCAGCATGGCGTGGTTCACACTGGGATGAGGGGATGTGCAGGTTGAGCGCTGGGCACTGCGACCACCCTGAGCACCCCCAGCCCTGTGCTCACCCTGTAGTCCCCCGGTGGCCCCGGTGGTCCCATAGGACCGGGCATCCCTGGGGCTCCCATCTCCCCGGTGCGGCCAGGGCTCCCTGGCATGCCCGGCAGTCCTTGCTCACCCTTCTCACCCTGCCGGGATGCAGCACACAGGGCCATGAGTGTGGGGCCCCGCAGCAGCAGAGCATGGAGCTGGGTGCATCCCGGTGCCCCAGCCCACCCACTGGGGTCTGTGGGTGGAAAGGCTGGAACCCCCTCTGAGATCCCTCTTTACCTTTGATCCTGGGAATCCTGGCTCTCCTCGGAGCCCTGGTTTGCCAGGGAATGACGCAGGTCCCGGGGGGCCAGGGGGCCCTTCGTGCCCAGGTGCCCCAGGGGGTCCCTGTGTGCCTGGGAGTCCCGGTGCCCCTGGGGGGCCATCAGGCCCAGCCAGGCCTGGGGATCCTGGAGCTCCTTCACTCCCTGGGAACCCAGGTGGTCCCACGGCCCCTGGTGGGCCAGGGGGGCCAGGCTGCCCCTCCCGCCCAGGGAGCCCTGGAGTGCCTTCATGACCTGGGTAGCCTGGGGGGCCAGGGGGGCCAGGCAGCCCTGGGGCACCGGGTGGTCCTGGCTTCCCGGTGAGGCTGGCTGCTCCCAGCTGTTAGGTGGAGGGAGAGAGGAGAGAGTGGCAATGGTGAATGGCAGCATCATGTCCCGTGGGCCCCCTATCCACCTCTGCAGCTCTGTGTCCCTGCCCTGCCCATCCCTACAGGTCCAGCTGAGGATGGACCCCACAGCAGCTCCAGCACTGCCCATCCATCCCGGCATCATCCCCCGTCCCTCCATCACCCCCCCGTGTCACCCAGCCCAGGTGCCCCCTCTCCACCTCTCACCTCTCTCTCTGATTCCTTGGAGACCGCTGCAGGTGCAGGTGGACTCCTGGCTCCCCCAGCACCCGGTGGTCCCGGTGGCCCTGGAGGTCCCGGTGGTCCAGGGGGGCCCCGAGGCCCCTGGTGACCTGGTGGCCCCGGGCTGCCTGTCCTCCCTCTCTCCCCAGACAGCCCTGGCTGGCCCCGCTCCCCGGGGAAACCGCGGTCGCCTTTTTCTCCCTGTTGGGATGAAGACAGAGCCTGGCTCCTGCCCCAACACTGGGACTGTCCCTGCAATGCACACTCCAAAGCAAGAATCCAAATCCAGAGCAGAAAAAGGTGAAAAGAGCCCTGGGGTCTCTCCCCACAGATCCCCAAACCCTCTGCCCCACGCAGGACCCCTCTCCTACCTACCTTGGGGCCGGGAGGGCCGGGGCGCGCAGGGCAGATGCAGTTGGAGCCGTTGTGCATCTAGGGGGGAGCGAGCTGTGAGCTGTGGGGATGGGGGTTGGGGGGCACCGGCACCAACCCCCCCTCACCTGCAGAGTCACATCCAGCCCGGGGGCCATGGGCACACGCTGGGGCAGCCCCTTCGGTGTGGTCTGTGCAGGAGAGAGGAGCACTGATAGTGAGATCCCTGCATCCCCGCCCCGTGCCCGGCTGCTCCACAGCTCCCCCACAGTCGTCGTCCCCCCCCCACCCCTGCACCTTGATCTGCAGGAACTCCTCTTCCTCTGCGCTGCCCTCAAAGATCTGTGGGGTGGCCGTGGGGTGGTTGTGCTAGAGCAGAAGGGCAGAGCTCAGCATGCAGCCAGTGGGGTTCAGGGGGTGCTGTGCACTGCGGGCTGTGCAGGGGCACCAGGGTCTCCTCTCCAAGGGGCAGAGAGGGGAAAGCATTTCCAAGGATGGAGTCTGGTGTGGGATGCACTGCTGTGGCTGTGCTGTGCTGGGTGCTGATAAGGGAAGGATGAAGAGCAGGCCTGGCGTGGGCTGGGGAGTCAGGGTGGGGATAGGGGCCTTGGGGCGCAGCTCCTGCCAGGGATGGGCACCTGGGCTCGCGTGCGCAGCAGGGCACGGCCCTGGCCCTTGGTCCTGGCAGAGGGCTCCCGTCTCCTCGAGTCCGTTCCCAACGGGGGTTTGCTCAGCGGCAGCTTCTTCGTGGGCTCCGCGTCAGCAGCGTCTGCAGGATGGAGACGTGGGCAGCAAGGTGCTCCCTGCTCCCAGTGCCTGGGAGTGTCCCCTCCTCACCGGATCCGGGAGCTTGGGGTGCGCACCTACCTTCCTCCCCACTCAGGGTGGGCAGCGTGGGGGTTGCAGGGCTGGTGCTGGGCTCTGGAGTGGTGTCTTCAGAGCCCAGTGGGTAGAACCACTGGGCCGTGCCGTGGGGCAGAAGCCCGGCCAGCACTGAGAGGATGCAGAGTGCATGGAGGAGGCGTGGGGTATCCAGCCTCATGCTGCAGCCCCGGGGTGCCGAGGACAGGGGGGTCTGGTTCATCCCGCTCGTCTGTGCCGTCTGCTCCTGATGCCCTGGCACAGCCCCTGCTGTTATCACAGTGGCCCCCGACACGCCCCCTCCCCCCCCAGCACCCCCGCCCTGCGGGCTGCATCCAGCATGGAGCTGAATGCTTACTGTGAGGGTGCGGGGCAGGGAGGGCGCATGGGAGCTGTGGGAAGGGAGCCAGGTCAGGGAGAGGGGTCTGGAGGAGGAGATGCTGCCTGGAAATGGGAGTTAAACCATGAGGGAGTGCGGGAAGGCGCTGGCTGGGAGCAGGGCACTGGCACGGCAAGGAGCAGCGTCCCACCAGGGATGCATGCAGCCCTTGTCCCCCTGCTCCATCAGAGCCCGCCTGCTCCGGAAGAGCTGCCATCAGCTGGGGGGCTGCAGCGCTCTCTGAGGCATCTTCTGCCCCTGCAACACTGCGTTGCTGGAACCCACAGCCCCTCTGAGGTGCTGTGATGGCTTTGGAGCTGTTGGGTGTCACAGGAGGACAAAGACCCAGAGCTGGGAGCCCAAAGAATCTCAGAGTGGGGGCTCGAGGTTGAATGTCTTGGGGTGCTGGCTGCATGGCAGTGGGGTGCACCTGCCTTCTTCATGGGGCAGGACGGTGCTGGAATCGGGGACCTGGAGGCCCCGTGCCTGGCAGAGATGAGGAACAGCCCCTGGGGCTGCAGAGCTCACACATCCCCGCTCCCCCGTGCTCCCGCTCCCTCCAGCCCTGCAGACACAACAGCCTCCCCGGCGGGCGCGTGGTGCTGCCAAGGTCTGATAAGGAGCTGCGGCTGCCGTGGGGCCGGGCACCTGTTTGGGTTTGGCCCCGGCTCGGACGCTGTGTCAAGGCTGGCGCCTCTGCCCTGAGTCACGGCCACTGTGCGCCCCATGGCTGTGCCAGGCAGGGCAGGGGCTGTGGGCTGGGGGCTCGGGGGCCCCTGCTCTGCTAGGAGGGGAAGAGGGGTCTGGGAGCATGGGGGGCAGCAGCCCTGCCTGCATTTCTCCCCCAGCTGATGCTGCCCCACTCGTGTGGGGATGGAAGGTGCTCTGGGAGCGGCCAGAGTGGCACAGCTGGCACTGCAGTGTGAGCACAGGGTGGGAGGTGAGTGCAGGGGGCTGCGGTGGGCTCAGCCCCTTCTGAGCACAGCCGGGCTGCAGGCACGGAGCGGAGGTGGCTTTTGTTGATGCTCTGCACCTCCCTCCTGCTGTCTGTATGCAGAGGGCAAATGAAACAAATGGCGCTGATGTTTAGTGCCTCTGAGCTGGTGGCACACTGTCACAGCTCCCACTGCTCCTCAGGGTCTGTGGGGGGTGAATGGGGCCCCATGAGACGTGCTCGTGCCTGGCTTGCTGTGCTCAGCCCACGTGCTGGAGCTGGGTTGGGTGTCAGGAAAAGGTTCTGCACCTTCCAGGTTGGGTGGGGAACACGGCTGCCTGAGCTCACAGTGTTGGGACACCACTCGCAGACATGGGTCTGGTTTGGGTGCTGCTGTGTGGAG